GAGACAAATAAATTAACTTCCCAACTAAACATCGAAATCTTCCAACATCAACCAAATCGCCTTTAGCATCATCAAATTTTTTATTGGGGTCTACATGTGTCAATAACCTGTCATACCTGTATCAGAAAGAAGATCTAAGATGTATTTTTGCTAACTTACAATGATCCCCTTTTTGGATCTTGCAACTTCCATTCCGAAAAGATACTTTAGTGGCCCAAAGTCTTTGATCTCAAATGCTCGGGCAAGACTTGCCTTCAGGTATCTATTCCTTCATGGCTGACAATGATGTCATCCACATACACCAATAAAACAGTAATAATATTACCATTCTTCCTTTTGCAGAACAAGGTGTGATCAGTTTGGCCTTGAGCATATCCTTGATGTTTTACTGAACTTGTAAATCTTTCAAACCAAGCTCGAGGGGATTGCTTCAGACTGCAAATGGCCTTTTTTTAACAAGCATTGGGAACCAAACTCAGTCTCGAAGCCTTTTCCTCTTCAAGATTCCCATTTAGGAAAGCATTCTTCACGTCTAGTTGGTGAAGAGGCCAGTCTAAATTCACTGCAACAGACAATAAAACTCTTACAGTGTTAAGTTTTGCCACAGGGGCAAATGTTTAAGTGTAGCCTACACCATAAGTTTTGAGTGAAGCCCTTTGCTACCATTCTAGCTTTGTATCTTTCAAGCGTTTCATCAGCATTGTACTTGATCGTGAACACCCACTTACATCCTACTCGCATTTTTCCGGGTGGAAGAGCTAGTTTTACCCATGTGTGATTCTTTTTAAGAGCATTCATTTCCTCCAAAACTGTTTCCTTCCATTCTGGACTTGTATAGACTTTGGAATTTCCACATAATTAAGGTGTGAGATAAAACAAGAAAAAGGAGACAAGTTTTGTAGGGAGACAGAGTTAGGCATAGGACATCTAACTGTACATTTTCTCACTCCTTTTCTTAGAGCCACTGTAACATCAAAATTTGATGGAATATGATTATGAGGAACTGTACCTGTCCTTCTTGACTATGCATAAGGGTTGGAGGGATTTATTCCTTTAGATGGATGCTTGTGGATGTATGTCTGGCCAAACTTCTTGTCATTGTTTGGATTATGCTGTGTGTGATCAAGATTGCTATGTATGGTAGATTCATCATTTGAATTTTGGTGATAGCCCAAAAACTGTTGATCAACACTGAAGAAGTGTTGATGGTAACACAAGGGAAGAAATCATCGATCAATAGTAACAGCTCAGCAACAATTTGATAGAATCAACAAGGGAAGAAACGTAGATGGAATTAGTCGCACAAACCACAGCAGGTAAATTTTGGTCCTCTTGACAACAATCGAACCAGAAACCTTTGCCGTCGTTCAGATCTGATACCATGTAATGTTGGAAAAAACAATGATTTTTCTCTATCTTGTATTAAACCCTTCTACAAGGTACCATATAAATACACAACTAGTTTTCTTCTTGATAGGAAACGTATCTTTACAACTTGGAAAGAAAATCAATCTAGCTAATTTACAGCTAAATTGTTCTAGCTTACATAATTATCTCTAATTTACATAATTATCTAAAACAACACCGTCCTAATAGTAGGCCTCTCGGCCTCTCCACGGAGTTCCTTTCAGATATCTTAGGATCCTATAGACAACATTGAAATGCACTGCTATTGATGTGTGCATGAACATGCATACCCATGCTAACTGTGTATGAGACAAGTAGAACAATTTTTCTACACGTCTTTTGAGTTATGCTCAATTGTAGTCTCTACAACCAAGCAAACTTGTTTCTCCAAGGAGATCACAAAAATATTTCCTCTTTCCTTGGATCTTGTAAATCGATTCCAAGAAATAGTTGAGGACTCCCATATCCTTGATTTGGAACTCTCTGCAAGTGTTTTTTTAATAAAAGAGTTTATTGTTATGTTTTATGTTTGGAGTAATATAGTCTTCCATATTTTGCTGGATTCTCATAGAATTAGGAAACCTTTTTGTATATATAACATAGGGTATTAATCCCTTTACATTGGAATAACAAGAATTCCATCAATTCTTTCTTCATGGTTCCTGGCTTGGCTCCTGTAGTAGTTGTCTTCCTCCATGAGAAAGTCTCCTGTTATCGTCTTCCTCCATGAGAAAGTCTCCTGTTATCGTCTTCCTCAACCATCAATTTCTCTTCTTCGGCTGTAGTCATCTCCTTCTGCCATAGTCGTCTTGATAGGATCAATCTGACGGTTTCTCGGCCGCGGACCTCCCAATCGACTAATTCTTGATCAACAACTTCTCTCCATTAGTCATTGTTGCGTCTTCCCCTCAAGCTATTGATGTTGTTGCTTATTGTTTTTATGGTTGCTACTATCAATCGTTTGCCATGATTTGCTGCTGCTTCTCATACGCGAGACAACTAGTCGGCCTATTTAATAAACATCAGCATCAATTCTCAATCAGCACCTGTTCAATCAGCACCTCAACAGGAAAGAGTGCAAGCTATCATATATGCTTTTGAGTTATTCGCTGAATTAAGGAGTTGTGCTTTGGTAAGTTAAATGTTGATGTTCTCCTCATTGTTGTGTGTCTCGTTCTGTTTCTTTTTAAGGCCATCAGTAGTACCATCTGTTTTCCATAGGTTTGAGACTTCTAATTGACAGATTTTCATGAACCTCCCAGCATTTGTTATATAAATGCCCCAACTTGTTACAATGGTTACACCAGGGTTTTTTCCCTTTTTTGTAGGCCAACATAGAGTACTTTCCCCAGGATGTGCTCAAAAGTCCTGGCATCCTCTAGTGAGAGGTTCTGTTTTCTATTGGTCTCTCTTGTGGCAGTGACTTGTGTGGGATTAGTCTTCTCGATCAAACATGACTCTCTGATTGGTTATGGACGAGAGGCTAGGTACTATTTTCAAGCGATTCAAGGAGAGAGCGATGACAGTGACTTTCTCCTAGCGTACTACCTGACGTCCGGTTAGTGCTGCTAGACCTCTAAGCATAATTTTTCCATATTTCATCAAGATCAGATGTAATTCCAACAAGAAATCAAACTAAACGTACCCAGTACATGCCACTTGAAAGTAGGGTCTAGGAGGGGTAGGATGTACATAGACCTTTTTTCTACCCAAAGGGGTAGAGATGCTATTTATATGAGGACCCCTGACTTGCAAGAGTTTTGTAGAGACAGTAAACCAATTCACTCTCTCTCAAGATGTTGATTGAACTGTTTGATCATTGATGCCCTCTCGCAGTCAGCTTCATAGAACTATTTGATCAACGATCAAGTTCTTGCCACAACTAAAAGGCAGTAAAAAGTTCAGTTTCAATTTGATTTCAAAGATATGCAAAGGATTCTTCTAATCTGAATTATTTTTCTGAATCACTTCCTATTCACCATGGCAGTTTATAAGAAAAGATTTGTGCAGCTGATATAGGCCTCCATTAAATTAATCAACCACATCTGTATAACTGAATTGTTTGGTCATCAAGATTGGGTCTCTTGGCTTCTTCTCTAATGTAGCTCATCTTCCCCATTTCACAAATAACCATGGGGACTAAATGCGACAATGTAATCTTTTCCCTCTACTTTGTGATTAGTGATCTGCAACGATCGTATTGATGTTGCTGTGAGATGAACTGTTTGTCGTGGATAAGGTAATAGAATCATCCTTTCCTTCCATGATGAAAGACCAAACCTTTAATGGCCGTGTTATGCTCGCACAAAAAGCAACAAAATCTGTTTTAATGGTGTAGAGATGCAGAGAAGGAAAAATCTGCACCATAAATCAACAGCCTTAGACATTTTGATTGAAAGATGTAGTCTCCATTAATAGGTCTAATCACATTATATACACACTGCTGTACACGAAAACAATAATAAGTATTTCTTTTTCACACTGATGATAACTAAGTTTCTATTTTACTGTTATATACAGTATTTATTCTGTTAAACAAACCAACTTCAATAACGGGAAACATTAACTATATCCTAGAATAGAATCGGATTTGCAGTAAAAGACATCCAATACAATCGGTACACAAAAATGGCCATGTATATATTAATTGATAACCAATGTTCAATGAAAATATCAGTTCATGAAAATGCATGTGCGTGCAATCAGATGATACATCAACAGGGATGAACACATTAGACTAAAGAAGCAAATGAGAACAAGATAGATATAGAGCAATTGGTGATCAAAGTTTAGGGTCATTTCCATTAATGGGTGCTCTTATTGTTCAACTAAACAAAAACCCTAAAATGGTGTTGTCTGGAAATGGAACAAAAAGAGAAGGGAGAGGGATGTTCCCTGAAATGGCTCAAGGATGGGGGCTTACACAAAAAAGAACCACCGTCATTGAAGGATGCTTACTTAGGTCTTTGGGAACCTCAACCTTGAGCCATGGGTCTTACACCATGTAATTGAGGTTGAAAAATATGATTATATTACTAAGAGAGGAATTCCAGTTATATAGAGACAACATGGTTGTGGATAAGGAAAAATCTAAACTTACAAGAGGAATAAATCCTGCGACTCTTGTAACAAATTATAGCAAGATCAAAATACTAGATTGTTTATGCAAGTGTAGTTATGATAGAAAAACATGCTTAACAAAATGCACTTAAACCAAATTAATGTTCTAAGTTGTTACGGGTGCATACGTAAAAGTTTCAGTTCACCATAAAGTCATTTTTTGGCGTTTTAAGTGATTTCGGCCATTGTGTATCTGTGCCTCCTACATATGGATTGACTCAATGAGTTAGAAATTAATGGAAGAAAGTTGAGTGACATGTTAGGTGATTTTCATGCTTTGGTGTGAGACTGGTTCACCTGTGAATAGAGAATGTGGCTACTTATCAACATATGATCCCCGTAACATTTAAAATATTTGATATGCCATGGACCCTTTGACCAACACTTGTGATCCTGGTGGATATGAAATAGTAGGTATGCCCTAATCGGTTGACAATTTACTTTTATGTTTTCTTGATTCTTTTTATCCTCAGGAGGACCAAAAAGTGGCTCACCAGCTGGCTACATCGATGTCCAACTCTCTAAAGGGAAGAGCAGTGCAGGTACCATGATTGGTTTTTAACTTGTTGCAATGCTGTTACAACCTTATCTTTGAATCATTACTCTTCCTGCAGGGTCGAGTATATCAAGGAAAAGAGCCACCACAGTTTGTTGCCATCTTTCAGCCTATGGTTGTTCTCAAGGTACTCTCTTGCATTTGTAGTTAGAAATTTGTAATAGTGTTCTTTTACATTACTACAGAATTTAAATATTCTTCAAGGAATTGATGCTTAACAATGGTAAATATTTCTTTTACTAGGGTGGATTGAGCTCTGGATACAAAAGCTACATTGCAGACAAAGGGTTGACTGACAATACCTACCGTCCAGATGCCACTGCACTCATTGAAATATCGGGAACTTCAGCTCATACTAATAAAGCTCTTCAAGTAGAAGCGGTATGCTCTACAATCCCCTTCCTATTTGAAGTACTCTTAACTTCTTTATTGAGATCATAATATAATCTTGGAGTTTCAGTTTCTGTATTTAACTTCTGTTTCATACCAATATCATTTACTCAAAGCTCTGGTTCATTCTTGTAATTCCTTCTTTATGCTATTACTTTTTTGAAATATTTGTAGTGTACATGAATTATGAAACTGTTGATGTGTGTTATACTCCAATTCTGGTGCTGCACTTAATGGCCTTGGGAAACCTTCTCCAAAATGCTATTTCCCTTTTGAGATCACTAACACAAATGGCAAACTTATCAAACATAATGCTTCTAGTGCAGTTATACAGGTTTACTCTTCTTGCATCTTCAACTGTCATCCATACTATATACAACCACTCACCATTGTTAGGAGTTATCAATCATCGAGATAAAATATGTATAACTTATGTAAATAAAACATTAAAACCACAGAAAAGGGAAATTCTTTTAAAAATCTAAAGGATGAACATTGAAACAACAAATCAATCTATAGAAATCTGTCAATCTTACTTGATTTTACAGATTCTTTGTAGGAATCGAAACGGATTGAGGCCTGCATCCACGCAGTATCCTAAGACAGAAATCTCGCCTGTAAACGATGTCCGCCTAGATGATAAAACAATATTATTCAAGTTGTACTTGAATCTAGGAATCAAACGATGTTTTGGTGATAGAAATTTGAGAGAAAAATGATAAGGAAGCAGAGAATTTCGTGAGTTTTCTGCCCAAATATGATAGGCGCTTATCTACGTATGCCTCTGCGACTGAAATTGACTGTCAGGGCCGTCCAGGGAGTTGTGCAATCACAAGTCACTGGATTGCCTGCGTAACTCTCTATCCATGCGATGCAATTCCAGTGACTTACACGACCTGGGTCACAGAAGAGCTAGTGTATCTCTCTGTGTACACACAACCAAAACCCCCAAAAACCCCTATTAGGTCTAAGAGACCCAAGCACCATCTTTATGAAGACTTCTGACAAATTGAAGACTTCTTATGATGTGATTTTGCTGTGATAATGCTTTGACAAATCGAAGACTTCTTATGATGTGATTTTGCTGTGATAATGTTGTGGTAAATCGAAAATGATTGCGTAAATCACAGTTGTTCTCCTTTGAACTCTACCCTATATATATATGTGTACCAAGCCGACCATGAACACACACACTCACCAACCCCAAGTCATGGGATCATTCATTTAGAGCCCAAACTTTAGGCTTTATAAGGTGAGTTCAAATCTAACTTTCCTTCCATGTGGGACAAGATTCCATGGCATGCTCCAACATTAAACCAAGTTCCAATAACCATGCCCTTGAGTTCTTATCCCCACTTGTTGCCAATAGTTCAATTTCCTTGGGGTTCATTTTCATTGTATGATACAATGCAAAGACACTATTTTAATGCACTTGAACTCTGAAGGAAAAATATATGAATTTCTGAAGCCTACCCTCCTAGCAACTTCAGGAGCCCCCACATAACCTTTGGTTCTACACACATAGTGGGTGCTGTCCCTCACAAAGGGCAGATCGCATTTGTTACAAGTGCATATTATTATACTAGATGTAGAGTGCACAAAAGAAATCTTTGCTGATTACTGTTTTAGATATCTCATATAGAAGGGTAGTTGCGAACATACGTACATGAACAGAAGTCGTGAACAAAAGGGTCGTTTACCTTTGCTGATTGCTGCTTGAGAAATCTCGAACAGCTAAGAAATCATGAATGGGTCGACTAAATTAGGGTTCTATCCCTATCAGTTTTCTTGGAGCTCTGATACCATGTCTATGTGGAGAAATCAAAAGCTTCGATTGATTTCATAGAACCATAAGGCTGTTAAAATACGTCTACTTAATCAAATCAATCTGCTATCTTATTTTACAACTACCTAAGCATAATGATCAACTAATCACAGCCTTTCTATGTAGTCCAGTGACCAAGAAATGACTAGTCCTTCGTTTCCCTGTCAGTATAGTCCTAACAAGTTGTGCCCACTTTAAGTAGTTCTTCCCGTTCAATCTATATGCCGATTAAATCTGTTGCTTCTACAGGAGCTGAATGCAGTGTTGTCTCATCAACCTTGGTTGTAGTGTGGACTTCATATTCTGACATGATTATAAGCAACTGGGAACAAGAAACTATGGATGCTATTTACCGGCAATAGTAGAGACAACAGCAGAAGAAAACAAAACAACACAGGGTTGCCTTCTCTTTGTGCAATTTTCCTTTTGTCATTGAAATGAATCTGGAATTCAGTGTTATATTGGTGTACAGACATTAGGTAGAATCAAAGCTGCAGCAGAAGTCGATCTCTATTGATATTGTCGGCTATTAAGGTCGAAAGGAATGCAATGAACAGATAGTGATGATAGCAGTAGCCACTAGAAAAGAATAACAGTGATAGCAGTGACAGATAAATCAATTATCTGGAATCGTTGATTAAGGGACGTCGACAATGAAGGCGTCTCGTTGATTACAATCTATTAGGGAATATTAATTAAGGAACAATCGAATAAGGAATGTTGTCAACTACGATGATGGTCGTTGGAGACTTAAGACCGCTGCGAACGAGAAGAGCCCATTGGCATTAAGGTCACAGTGAACAAGCAACAGATACGAGCCTAAAGCTCTGATACCATGTCAATAGTGAGAAATAGAAAAGGAGAGAGAAAGTATTTTCCTTATTTTAATTAGGAAAAAACTAACTGTATATATATATAATAATCCTAATTTATCTTCTATCTACTACCTACGTGCTCTATAAGATTTTGATGAGATTTTGGAAGTCTATATACAAAGCGACACAAATGGATTGCCACATGCCTCGGGTATTCCTTCTAAAATAATACAGACATACATTGAAATAACTTGTCTAGATCACTAAGAAAAGAGCCAGCACTATTAATCTTTTCAGGAAGTCTACTAGGCTTTGCATCTAAGCTAAAACCCAATACTACGCAGTGAAGGGATTATCTTGTTTCGATTCTATACAACTTTGATAGGTGAATATTTATATAAATAAGGTAAGCTGGACCAATTTATAGAAACCACACGAGATGATAAACACCCCCACGATGTTTCTATTGTAAAAAAACAATAGAACGGGCAAAGAAGAATACAAAAATACTAACAAAAAAGTCACCAAGATAATGGTCTACTTTCAAGAGGTAGACCATGGCCGTCCCTGGGGGAGGGCAGGCTGGGCCGGGCGTGCGCCCAGGGCCCACAAGAAAATAGGGGCCCAAAGTTTTCTATCATCTAGTAATAGTTCAAAAATATTAGTGAATAAATGAGACACAAATCTTATTTAGTATATAATAAAACCCAAAAAGAATTTAGTACTATATTAAAGGTCCAAATATGTATTATTTAATTATACTTGAGAAGGATATATGTAAAAAGATAATTGATCGTTCATTTTATGGTATTGTTTATTTATTTTCTAAGTTTTTTTATGTATCACCAAAGTCTAAAACTACTTGCCTAGAAAACCTTGATATTTTCTCCATCATTTATCTCCCACCGACTATTTTGACTATTTCATCCGCATAAGTTCTATTTTTTTGTATTAGAATAAAGTAGATTTCTTGTTATTAACTAAGAAAACTCCTACCTTTTGAAAAAATTACCTACCATATGAGACGATCTAACTTGTATCTATATTTAAAATTTCAAAACTAACATTGTTTTTTCATACATTTTTGACTCCTTATTACCAAATATTTAATGTATGAATCTTAAGTATTCTCCTATTCTATAAACTAAGAATAAGATACCAAGTTATAACCAACAAAAGCTTTTGATTCTAATATTGATAGTTTTGAAAAATTTAGTTTTCAACCCTAAAAGTTTAAAATGGTGAATGAAAACATCAACATAAGGTGATATGAACACGGTTTATGTAGATTTACATGAAGTATTACTCATAATAGTCAACAATGTGATCTCAAATGACGTCAATCTATATATTAGAAGTATATGTATCATATGATGTTTTTGATGGTGGGACGGTTGACGATGCTATCTAAAAATGATATGATAGATAATATAATTTAGAAATGAATATTGATTGATTGATAATATTAATTTAGAAATAAATATTGATTGATTTTGCGTCTAGGAATACTAAGAAAATCGATTTTATATGAGTTATTAGTATTTCTTGATATTAATGTTATTTATGATAATAGAAACAATATGTTGAAGATTTTTTCATACTTATCGAGGGCCCTCCTGTAGATCTCTCCTAGGGCCTATAAAATGTCAGGAACGGGCTTGAGACCATCTGTCCTATGATGCTCGCCTCACTCAAGTTATTTTAATAATGATCATTAGCATGCCCAATACATTCTCCAGCCTCTTTATTTATAGATGTGGTTAATGAAAGTACCACAACTACCCTTCACTACCGATTTAGGCCTAAGAAATCTTTCATGCTGCCCCATCCATAGACAAGTTTGATTCTTATCACTCATTCGTATTATATCATAAGAACGTCAGGTATTTCATCACACTTGAATAAAGCATGAATATTGACTTCTTATTCAGAGAGTGGTATCATTTATTCTATTTGAGTAACCATGGATCACTTCCTTTTTAACAAGCTTACTATTGTTTTCTGTATATGCGGCCTTTTGAAGAATTTATTCAACTGGGACTTGACGATATGTACATAATTTTTATTCAGGTCGCAACGTCTTTGAATTCCTATGGGTGTTTTGTTGTACAATCTGGTTCAGCAGTTTTTACCTGGTATGGAAACCAAAGTACTGTTGAGCAGCAGCAGTTAGCAGCAAAAGTTGTTGAGTGTTTGAAGGTATGCTTTCAAAAAACTATGATCTTAACTTGTCTTCTTTTAGTAGGTTATTGTGGATATGATCTAAGTCATGTCTGCAGTTATGCCTTATGAAATAGAGTTCCATTTGATCATTGCTGCAAGTGTTTGATCTATAATGTTTTAATTTTGCTCCAGCCTATTTTATCTAATATACAATTTATATAGATTAAGGTTTCTATGATAGATGTCCAAGTTCCTCACCATCACGACTGCTCATCCATCCAAACCATTTGGTCCTGTTTTCTTCCAGTGTATTTATGTATCCACATTCCTTTTAGTGCTCCCAATAATACGAATCGTTTTTGTGTTTCCTTATCTAGCTAATTTTAATACGGTTTGCCGTCTACCACTTCCATGTTAAACTGTCAAACTTTAAAATGCTTCACTGACTGCTATGTTGCATGGCGACACCTTTGATTTTGACAATAAAATCCAGTCAGGACATGACTATAAATATACATGTGTACTTCTTAGTCACTTATTTTATTATGTAATGCATAGTATATGTTTAGGTAATCATGCCTAACGTTATATGCTTGAAATAATATGTAGTCTATTATTTCTTGTCAATTCTTGATAGCTCATTTTATCTCTTTTTTCTTATCTTTAGTTTTACATACCTGGACAACAAAGCTCATTTTATCTCTTCTTTCTTTTCTTTAGTCTCGCGTACCTGTAAAATTCGTTAAAGAAGGAAAAGAGAGTTTAGCTTTCTGGCTTGCTCTTGGAGGCAAAAGAGACTACACCAGTAAGAAAGTGACACAGGAAATTGTCAAAGAACCCCACTTGTTTGCAGTCTCATTAAATAAAGGTTTCAAAAGCGTAAAACATCTAATTTTTTACATGTCCATTTATTGGTTAGCTGCAGTTTATTTTACATGGAGAATTGTTGTTGCTCATTATACCCACTAATTGGTTTTATGAACTTATTTCCTGGTTAATGGATCGACAGGAAAGCTTGAGGTGAGTTCTCCATATCATTTATGCATGGCACACTTGATAATTTGTCTGATGAATATATAAAATTAAGTTTCATTTTGTGACAGATTGAGGAGGTTTACAATTACGACCAAGATGACTTGTTGCCAGAGGATGTCATGATATTAGAAACACATGCTGAGGTGTTTGTTTGGGTTGGTCAGTCAGTAGACCCTAAAGAGAAACAAAGTGCTTTTGAAATTGGCCAGGTACTAGTTTACCGATGATTATATGCTTTTCTGCATGGAAGTTCTTTATTGCTCTGTATGTTTTTAAATAAGTTGATTTCAGAAATACATAGAATTGGCTGCATCTCTGGAAGGCTTGTCCCCATATGTGCCATTATACAGAATACTAGAGGGAAGTGAACCTTGCTTTTTCACAACATATTTCTCATGGGATCCTACAAAGGCTACTGTATGTACTTCTCTACTCTTACCTTTACATGTATACTTTGATCAACACATTTACTCATTCAAGAACTTCTCTCAGTTAAACTTATTGACTTGTAATCCACTTTCCTGCCTCACAATAAAATACGAATGGTTGTGGGTGGTGGTTTTTGGCTGAATATTGTATTTTTCATAAGCAACATGTCCACATGTTACATCATCCTTTAAGACTCTTTGTTATGCCAACAGTGTATGGTTCATGTCTTAGCATACAATGTATGTATTTTATTTTGGGATAATCTAATCTTTGGAATACCTCACAATGAGTAGTTCTTGTGTGAGTTCTATCCCCACAGAACACATAGGGTGCACTTTTGTGGGATAAAGCTTCCACAAGCACGATTCACCTTATGGGATGCCGTAGAAGTAACTTCACATATAATATGGTATTTGATATAATAACCGAAAACAACTTACTAATGGGAAAACTACATTAATAAAGTACATCATTGGCAACAAGACATAAGCAATAAGAAACCTCTTCAAAGTTGAGCCAAGTCTTATGATGGGAACTTTGGAAGTGTGGTGGAGTGTGCACCTAATGTAAGCTTGACCGTATCCCAAATTATTGATCCAAACGTAAGGATATGAGAATGGGAATACGCAAGATTAGAAACAAATACTGAAAAAGGAAATAATCTTAAGTTTATAAAATACAAAGAGGAAAACAAGATAGGGTACTCGTACACAATTTGGATATGAACCGATTAAATATTTGGACAATGGACTAGTACCAAGGTTCTAAACGGTTTGAGGCGTGGCATGGCGGAGAGGCCAAGCCAGCCAGGATATTTTTCAAGGTGTGACTTATGACAGCAAATCTCTATATCAATGAATGATATTAAACAATTTAAATTAGGTTATATATTAAAAAGTAAGAAATTAGAAAGATAAGAAAAATCAAATCGCGTTACAAAAAAGGCACATTAGGCAATGGCATGCCATAGATTAACATGGCGTTAGATACAAACCTTGAGCCATGACGCGCCATGAGGGCCGTTGCGACGAGCCTTTTATAACACTGATCTCAACAAAAGATCATCTTGACAAAAGGACTGTAATAAATCACAATCAAAGGAAAGGACTGTAAAAAGGGAAAACCTAAACCGACTATAATAAGGAAACACAATCAAAGGAATCCTAGGAGAATAATAAAAACACTAGGGAAAAGAAAGATCTCTAGGAATTGTTGTACAAATAAATCAGGATTTCAACACATTCTTGTGGCTATGCATGAAGATAAGATTATTTCACTCTCGAACATTCATATGGATGGATGATCAAAGGGCCTTTGGCCTAGCAGTACCTATAACCCAACCTTCTTCAACCTTCTTAGAGGTCAAGGGTTCAATTCTCGTCAAAAGCAAGGAGTGTGTATGAATCTATTTGTGGTATAGAAATATTGTATACTTCACAAAAAGATTCATATGGTTGACAATGTGGTGGACAATTTTACAAAGGCGTTGAGTCTCGTGAAGTTTGAGCATTACCCAAAGCTCATCTGATTGCTCAGGTATTAGTGCCACGAAGTCGCATTGGGGGAGAGATGGATTGTTTTGAAGGTTCCTATTTGATTGAGTCAAGGATTGGTCGTGGTTCGCATTGTAGGGATGGTATGTTTTGGATTGCATGTTGGCAAGTGATGGGTCATGTCGAAGCTCGTTAGTGCTTGAGTTGTTGTGTTGCCTACCTCATCTTCATGATCGTAGCTTGTTGTTTCATTTGTGTTTGGGTATCAAGGTGGAGTGTCGTCAGTGATGTGACCTTCCCTTGTTCCCATTGGTTGTGTCTGTTAGCACTCGCAAAGGAATAGAACAACCATGGAGGCTACTGTACACTTTCTATGAGGTAGACATTCTGATCGCAAGGTTGGTGTGCGACTTGGGCATTTGGCATTCGAGCCTAGACCCTTCCAATATAATTCTTGGGAATCAGACTTAAAAGGTAGGTTTGAGATCACCTATGGCCTTTTTGTAGATGGAGTCAGAACCCGGTGACTTCGCCTATGCGAGGTCTAGTGACTTAGAAGGTCGCGATTGTGGTCTACTTTACGGAGTCTCTTGCATAACAGAATTAATGGTAAGCCTAACCAGATCCATATGAAAGAAGGTAGTTTTGTGGATAAAAATCGTACAATTTTAGCATATCCATTTGATGATGATTCTGAATTGAATGGTAAACTTCAGCTCGTCGTTGCCATAGTATCCATCAATGAGGGATGCTATAAACAAGAAGAGACCAAGAGTTTACTTGAAAATGGAGAGTCAAGCACCCCTCCTTCAATTTTCACCAAGATCTCTTCAAGCCCCTATTTCTCTCTAATGATCCTTCATGCACACTTCTTCAAAGCATCAAACGAATGGAATGATTACCATTTACAACTTTGGTCCCCTAAGATATGAGATTCTTTCCATCAACCCATGCACTTTCACAATTACTTCCCATGAGAATATGGGTTATTACATGATTTTCCTCAAAATTGAATACGTTAGTGAGAGAGAGTTATTTGGCTTACATATGTCAAGGTCGAAGTGACTTGTGTAATAGGTAAGAACTATTTATATACTTTTTTGGTATTAATATACGACGTATCGTCTCCCCTTTGTGGATGTACAATTACCACACCAGTAGACAGTAGTAGAGAACCACTTCAAATCCTCGTGCTGTTATTATTTTCGCTTATAGATCTTTATTGCATCATATTGGGTTTGTTATTGCTCCCAGTGCTGATATATGTTAGATACACGTTTGAGATTCTAATGTTCCGCATTGTTGTTGGGTTTGTGCACTACTTGTTTCGTTATCGACCTTAGTGCTTGTGTAAAAATAGCTAAATATCACCCAACAAATGATTCCTTCTTTTTTCCATGATCTCATATTCATTGGTATTGACTATTTTTAGAACCTGAATTTTTGTTTGGAGCTGCCTTTGAACCATTATATTGAATTTTGTAAAAGTTTCTTCAACTTCAAATTGGTTTGTCTTTTGTGGATGATTCATCTAGTTCCCATTAGATTTTTAGGTTTCGATGGATCCAATACATATCTATGGACCAAAACAAAGGGTTTTAAGCTTCTATGTGGAATGGATTGATAATATTTACAAATATGCTTGGATAATTAGCAGATTTCACACCGAAAAGATTTCACATATTTATTTTTAAAATGTGAAGGGAACAACATTGGAGATGACAAAATTAGGATGTCTTAATCAGTAATGCCACATCGTGATTGGATCATCTGGAATTGAAGACACATGACCTTCATTTGACTCGAGAGGAACATTCTTTACAGTGGAAACTTGATTTCTAGGATGACCTTCCCCTTAAAGAGAAAAGAGCTCGAAATGTTCCTTAGTGTTGCCAATCATTTTCCCCGAGTTCAAATCTTTAAAATTCCATACAAGTGTGTAGAAAATTTAGCAGTGTACAAATATTCTTGACTAAATTTGTTCATAGACATGAGATCACAATCTAAATTTGGACTAAAATGACAGGTTTTAGAGTAATCTCTTGTTTAACAACAAAACTGGACCATTAGCAGCTATTATTAAGAAATTGTTCAAAATTTGGTTTGTAATCATGAAACAGAATAATGTTTCTAGTCACATGATCAAAGGAACTGGATGGTATAATCCAAGAACAGCATTTACCAATAGAGCACCAGTAGTGTTACCTTTTTGTGCGATAGATCTGGTAGCCACAACATTTTGGCTGATCACTTCTTAAAGCAGATCCAACAGGTGAATGGATTCAAGTCTGGTGTATTTTGAGTAGCTCCGATTGTTGCCAAATTACTCCAACTTTTTTTTGTCCTTGCTGGCTTTAGATCAGTTGGTTTACAATGAATTTCCTATAATTGTTGTGGGTATGCCTGAATGATCACATCAACTGATTATGCTGTCCTAGGAAGTCCGTTTGTCTCCGATAATCGCCTTTTTATGGCTTTTGTTGAGCCCCATGGGAAATTTGAAGATTTGTTATTTCTAGATTATTCTTGGGACAGCCCCCTTTGTGTTGTTAAAAAACATCGAATAATGGGTTATTATACTAAGATATTCGGTGACATTCAACTCACCTTGTTGAAGATCATGAAGTATTTATTATCTGGATCTCGAAACATTCTAGTGTATTTTCTTGCCTGAAATCCCAGATTTCACTTGTCTCATAGAAAGGGAAGCTCTTTCCAATCTCATCTGTGTTTGAATTCACTAATCATGAGATGATGAGGTTATTTTTGGACTTCCCTAACCCTGTAATCTGGATCTGCAGGTGGTGAATTTCACCTGTCAAAGTATTAATCTTTGTTCCTCGGTGTAAATAAATTGTCCCATTAGGTTTATGGCCTTTGATTGAAACTTGAAAACCTTTCATAGCCTCTTAAACTGATTTATATTAGGAACTTCAGTTTTATGCTCCAGGCAAGCCATATTTCGCCTATAGAAAGCCATACCATGTATAATTAAGAAATCTCCTTTTTGTCTACATTGTTCAGGAAAACATACATAGCATTTATAGGAAAATAAAGGCAAGATACTCTCCTAAAAACCTGAAACAAAACCACTAAACTAGCAAAAGGATTAACAATGTCCCCCTAAACTAGGATAATAAATAAAAGCAAAGATCAATGGCCTTGGAGGGTTTGTCTCATTGAATCCCACACTCAATCAGGTTTATGATTATTCTTGACCTTTCTGCTGAGGTATAATAATATGTCACTATTTTTATTTACAAACAAAATGAAGATCCTTGTTTCTTTCTTAGCATAGCATTCCATAGATCTCATTCTAGTTACTTTCTTCGATGTATATCTTTGATTGTTCTCTCTTTTTCAACGGTGTTAGGTTTCAGGCAACTCATTCACAAAGAAGGCTACGCTACTCTTCGGTGCAGGCTCGGTGGAGGTAAATGGTGGAAATCTCAGGCTTATGTGTTTTCTCTTTTGTTGTTGGATAAGATATATGCTTATCAATGATGTATTGTTGTATAAAACAGCTATTTAGAAAATCAGACGCTTTTGACTGTTCTATTGCTTAAATTTTCTTAATCTTATTATAGAACCAAGATAAATCACATGGAACTAAAAGTGGAGGAGCGACCCAGAGAGCATCAGCCATGGCAGCTTTGACCAATGCTTTTAGGTCATCTTCCGTCACTAAAACACCTACTAGTCCAAGAATGCCAACTCGTGGGTCACAGAGAGCAGCAGCTGTCGCAGCCTTATCCAATGTTCTCACTGCTGAAAAGAAGGGCCAACCTGAGTCCCCCACTCGAAGGCAACACAAAAGAAATCCATCATCCGAACCTGGATCACCTGCAGGTTTTCACAAAAGATATCCATCATCCGAACCTGGATCACCTTCAGGTACTCAAACTCTCTTATGGTTAGATGCTTGTAAGTTAAACATAAAAATGTATAAAGAATTACCAATGGGGTTGTGTGCAGCTCCATTCAAGAGTGAAGAAGCCTCTACTTTTTTTGTCAATAATGAAAGTTCTCAAGTTATAACTGAGCCGATTCCAGAGACCAACGAAGAGGAATCATCAATGAAACAAACAACAGAGGACTCATCAACTAAACAAACGACAGAGGACTCGTCAACGAAACAAATCCATGAGCAGGAAGAGGGTGGTGGTGTAGACATTCAAACTTCATATAGTTATGAGCAACTCAACACAAAATCAAAGAACCCAATTACTGGAATCGATTACAAGAAACGAGAGGTAAGCTTCTTGACGGGCTTTTCTTAAAAGTGTGTGATATTTAACTTCATTTATTTATGAAATTTCAGGCTTATCTCTCCCCTGAAGAATTTGAGGCTATATTTAAGATGACAAAGGAGGCATTCTATCAGTTACCAAGATGGAAGCAAGACCAGAACAAGAAGAAAGTTGATCTCTTCTAGAAATTGAAAATAATATATCCTTTTATAATATCTATTGTTTCTATTCCTTGCTGGTTTAAACCTGATTTTTTTTCACTTTGTTTTGCCACACCTGATGCATCCCTGTTTTGCTCCTCTCGCCACTCGTGATCGCTGTGGCGTTTTTTAACGACAACCGACGACTACATTCTTTTGATTTGGTTTCTATGTATCTCAGTTTGAGTTATGTTGGAGTCCCCCATCACATTGTTGTATAAATATTCTGAAGACAGCATTGTGTATATTATGCATTCGTTTTTTTACAGTTGGAATGTCCTTATGTTAGTTGTTCTACATGGTTGTCATGTCTCCATTATCATACACAATATCTACTCATCATCGTGTATAAATCAAACCGGTTGCAAGACTAAGAAGCCGTTTACAAAAAGCTTACCAGCGATAGTCACCATGCTCATGGGTAACATCATCTGCCATCGAAATGGATTGTTGGTAAGTTTCTTTTACCTGGTAACCGCTTATTGGGTAAGAGTATTCTCTCTCACTTCTCTTAGCAGGTAAGATATGTTCACCAGGTAAAGTAAGTGACACCAGTAATCTCTTACTCGCTAAGCGTGGGTAAACGGCCCCTAAGTCTTGTTGGATGACTCTTAGACCTCTACAGCTATTGAGTTCTATCAAGGTTTGTTCCCATTTTTTTTAAAGTTTATATGGTAGTAGTCTACAAAATTTAGTAGATAAAAGAGACCCAATTTTTTGGTATATATTATATAGTAGGAGTCCAAAAGAATTTAGTGGAATGCTAAGGTCCAAAAATGTATTAATTAATATCAATGGAAAAGAATGTATGTAAAAAGTTTTTATAAGTTTTTTATTTGGTACCAAGATCGACGCATGGACGGACCTACCATGGTGGTTATGGTGGCACGTGTCATCGTATTATTCTTCCGTCGAAGGGTAAAATAATTTAGGTTCGTAAAAAATGCAACCGTTTTAATTTATTGTGTGCCACCGTATGTATTTTGAAACTACAATGAGAACAAGTTTTATTTGGTAGAGTTGGTTTGCAAGACTTTTATTCCACCCCAGACCCAAGTTCGAATCTTGTTAGCGTTATTTTCTTAGTTAAATGGTGCCACCGTTTGGAAAAAAAAAAAAAAAAAACTTTGTACATTTGTTTCTTATAGTCAAATGGTGCCACTATTTGAAAATTTTCGCCATATTTTTTTCCTATAGTTAAACGGTGCCACCGTTTGAAAAAAATTCTAGGTCCGTCCGTACCGCATAGCTCACTCTCTTGGATGAGTTAACCTACCAAGCAGTTGCGCATCCCGCTATCTTAGGCTAGGAAACGAGCGAGCGACGTTTCACGTGATCTAACATGCAATGGAGGTTGCGGAAAGTAGTAGATGTGATAAAACCCCGATTTTTCTAGTTTTTTTGCTCATTTCTTCCATATTCTTCAACCTCTCTCTAGCTTAGGCGATGTGGTGGCTTTCGGATCGATTTTTTGGGTTCTTCACAGTGTGGTTGTGATTTATAAGCTTCTTGGAAGATTGAAGCATGGGATCTTCAATTTCTACATCAATGGGAGCTAAGGCTTGGAGGTGGAAGATGACATTTTGAGAGTCTTTGAGCTAGATTTTGGGAGACTCGTTAGGAAATTTCAAGTCTTCGCCAAAGTAAGCTCATGATTTGGGTTGAAATCTAGATTTAGTATAAATTATGCATGGGAAGAAGCCAGCCCCATTAGGGAACCCGGTGTATATCCGGTCAGACAGGACTAGGGATTCCGTGCAAAGCTGGGGACTAGGAATGGTGACGAGGATTCACGAAAGTTGAAAACCGGGGATGTGAAAGGACGTGGTAACATGATCTCCGACTGCCCCATTCCCGTGTCTTCAATTTATTTTATATATTAATAAATACATTGTATATTTATTACATATTTTATATACAAAGGATTAGATTTAGTATCTTTTAGATTTAGAAAGAGTGTTTTGACATTTCTTCTTATATCTACTTTTTCTAAATTGTTTCACTTTTTTAGATAAAAACATGGAGAAACGAAATCGTTTGATTAAACAATTACGTATGATGTTATGATTTTGTTAATATATGAATATTTGATACTTAATAAAAGCAAAATTTTAGAAATATGCGAGTTTTAAACACATACCATTATAGACTGGCTGAGGTATTTAACACGTTTGATTAAAAATATCTCACATAAACATGAAAAAGAAATCCCTGGTTCCCCGTTGGAGACGAGGATGGGGACGTGAACATATTCTCCGACACAGACAGGGACAGATCGTGGACGGAATTTGAGGTCCCCGCCCCATTCCCATGACTATTATAAATCTAGCAAGGTGAGTTCTAATTGCTATAAAAAAGCTATATGCATGTAAAAAATGTTCTAATCGTCTAAGTGGTGGTTTAAATTGACTAAATTTCCCCTCAGTCAAGGGATTACGAGTTAACTCAATTAAGAAAGGGATCCAACTTGAAATAAAATCCAAACCAGGCTTTGCTAGTTCTAGTTCTAGGATGTGAATTGGAAGGCCTAAACCACAGTGGATTAATGGCACCTTCATGATTCCACTTGTAACAAAACACGTAACATGTGTCCTAACTGTCTCAAGTCCGAGTTGACCTCCCATTTGTCGGTGATTTTAGTGTCGTCAACATTTGGTGTAGTTGTGATTTACTAGAGATCGAGTAAGGATGATGAGGCAAACATAAGTGAGTAAGGGAGTGCAAAGTGCACACTCAAAAATATTTCCCCTATCATCTTAGATCGCCATAAGGCAGGGGCCAAGGAGGCCTCACCCCCTTGCGCGGTTCCGAAGGGCACAGCCCCCTTTGGTGGTGGTCCCAGAGGTTTTTGGAGCTTATAAAGAGTCGAACTTAGTGAAAATCTTGCTAAGTACAAGTCTGGACTAGTGTAAGAAGTGATCTGATCATCCAGATCAAAGGTCTAAAGTCGTAGTAAAATAACTCTGGATTTGCTGCTCAGACTAAGTCCCAAGTCTGGACTAATGGGTTCAGAGATCTGGATATGTTTCTTCAGTCTTGTTCTAGACTTAGTCTTAAGTATGGACTAATGAAGTCAAGACTTAGACTCGAACTCTGATTTATAACTGCTCTTAGATCTATTTCGTTAATGGTTACTATCATTTAAACGCCATAATTGTCGATCTCTCTTATAAATACATAATTCATGATCTGAGTGTATATATATATATATATATATATGAAATCAATGTCTTATTTCGTGTATGTTTATCTAGATTATCCGGATACTAATTTCGTGTTAACCAATGGCATAATAGGGGTGAAATACAGTATTTGGAGAGTGATTTTCAAACACGGTCTATAAAAACATCCAAGTTATATTCAACCACAGAACCCAATTCCCCAACACTACCATGAGAAACACAAAACTCATTCTTGGTGAAACTAGAAAACGATTTACAATCAAATTATTTCGCTCACATACATGTTTTTCATATAAGCATCAGAAAATGGTGCAATGTTGCAGCAGAATGCAAACAAGGGCCCCAATTACCGTGAAATGTAAGAGAAGAATTGCTCCAACTGGCTCTCGCCTACTAGTACGCCGAATTGTTTGGTAAAAACTGCATTGACGGAGTCATCTCCTACATCTTCCAATACGTCTTTTGTGGACATGTTTATGTACTCGTTTAGGTTGTGCACAGTTCCGTCTGCAAGAACATGAACCAAGAAGAAAATAGTCGAAATGAAAAGGCAATCACAGGTATATATCATAACACCGACAGAAAGAGAAGAAAAAAACTAAACCATTTACTTTTCTTCTTTTGACTTTGAAATGAAGGCAAATTGCATGAAAACATAACAGGCTTTGTTCCGATTCCTGTTTTGTCTAACATACTTTCAAAACCTTCATTTTGAAACCTCAGATCTCAAACATTTAGACGAAAGTACGCTACACAAAATATAAATTGGACCAAAGTACATTGCATATTCATGCATTCGGATATGTAATGGCACCTAAAATGTTTGAGATGTCACATCTGGGATACCAAAATGAAGGTTCTGATGATACGTTACATGACATAGCAACCAGAGTTGCATTTTGAATGAAATGAGCTACGTTTAACTTCAAAATTTCTAACAGGTTTGACATACAAAGTCAAAGGGTGACGCTTGACCAAGTGTTGTGTGACCCTGATTTCATTCAACTTATTGATCATATGCCTTAAACAGTTTGACTCGATCTTCAATTCAATTGACATGTCTGTTTTGGTTTTTTAAAGTTCAACAAGTAAACATGAATGAGAGACGATGGAGTGTTCAAAGCAGAACTGTGTTACGCATTGACCCAAGCCCAAGCCCGTCGGTAACATTATAGATTTTAGAAGGGGTTAGAAAGGGTGTTTTAGTATTTTTAAGAATTATTCTGTTAGCAGAGGGGGCTTTTGGGTCATATCTAGAATAGTCCTATGATGCTAGTTGTATAAATTAGTGTGTCTGGGTGTAGGAGAGTCGTCCAGAAAATTAGCGAGTTCTAAATTGGGTGTCCTAGCCTCTCGAATGCTAGTTTGTTCTTCATTTTCCTTGTTACTGAAGCATTTAACAGTGTCCTTATCATTTGGTTTTCATTTCAATTGTTCAATCGTTTGGGTTCATAACAAACTGAAGAAAAATACTGGATTTTGCACTGTGAGAAAGATAGTTTAAACTTCAACATTCGTCTTTTTCATACGATAAAAGGAACGATGACCATTGACACAATAGTTAGTTTGATGTCGGTAAAGTAATTTCCAAAGTTTGGTTTTATGTTTACCTTCAGCTACTAGGACTTGGTACTCCGGTGGAGGAGACGTCCAATTTCCTTCTGAATCCTTCATGTGTCTCCTATCAGAGGCAAAATAACGGAGAAATAGTGGAGCATGCACTATACGGAAGACCCTGAGTGTTCATGAATCAATCGATAATCATTACCAATGGAAAATAAAGGTATTTGCAACTGAAACCATAGATTTTGCTAAGTTGCATCTCACTAAACATATGCTTCCTCTAACCTCAAAAAAGAGATGCTTATAGTATGTCTTTTGTCAAACCGAGTATTTTCCAAACAAAAACCAGTGGTTGAAAAGTGCCACTTCCAGAACTAAAAGTCAATGGGTACATCTTTTTCTAGTGATCAAATTTGGTATTAAGGTTGTATAAATTCATGGCAAGCATAATAAACAAAGTTTAGCAATCGAGCACCATGCATAATGGCATAGTGAGTTTACTAATACCGCCAATTTATCACAAGATTATGTAAACATAACAATTAAATGTAATAAAACATAAAACTGGAATCCTAGTATTCCTTATATTGAATTTTGGTGCAACTTTCCAAAAAAGGAAATACATTTATGTCATACACATGCAGCTATCAGGCCAATTATGAATTTCATGAAGGGTGTTTGCTTTTGACAGCGCAATTTAATAGCAAACTATGTTTACCTCTGAAATTCAGAAAATAGCTCGAAAGATGGTCGGATGCTTTCTGAAACATAGGATGGTAGGGTTGACGGAAATGGGAGAGATGAATCTAAATCCCATACCAGATCCACAGCCTTTCCTTCTTTCCGTCTCTGTCAAAGCAACACCAGTTCCAAATTTCAGTAATACAAAGTTTATGATTTCCACAACATCTCAATCAAATGATTTAGCATACTTCCCATGGTAATCAAATGCATATTAACTCCTAATGCAGTGAAAGTTTGAACTATTACCTGGATGCAAATGACATGGTAATCCCATATAATTATCCCATCAGCTCTATGGCTAGCTTTCTGATGCCACAACGGGATCTGCAATATTAATTAAACAAAATTGGTCTATATTGAAGTTCATCTCCATTTTCAAACTATGCATCAAGGGATTCTAAATGCAAAACCATCATGTATCTAGAGAAGAAAAGAAACAAATTTTGCTACACTACCAGTCACAGATGGGGAATAAGAGAATGTTGCATTGAGAAATTATTTCTTGGGATTCTTAGTTTTAATGAGTATTTTTCTTAAACATGAGAAAATGGAAGTAAAAGGTTCTTAACAACTAAAAGTGGGTGTGGTTGCAGATATTCTTGTAAACAGCGTGCAAAGTATCAGCTGTTGATCATAGGTTTGCCATATACATTGAAGAATCTTGGGAACGAGGAAGACTTTTCTGCATGCAATTTTAGAGAAACTCTTCAAGGGAGAATATTCAATAAAGATGATCCCTACCAATTTTAATCATCTATCACAAAATGATACAGCTTGTTCTTGCAAGTTTAAGTAAAGACGTTTTCTAAAAGAAGATACTCATTAAGTGGGTTCTTTCTTGCAAAGTTTACTCGTCTTTACTTGCTAAAATCAATTATATATGTAGCATAATGTGGAGCTAGATATTCAGTTATATGACAGATTTCATGTAAGTGCATCGTTTACCCTATTTTCTGCTTCTGTATGGTGCTGCTTTTTGTAGCATATTAATACTCGTCAAGAATAGGATTATCTTTGTGAAGAATCGTGAAGTATTTGTACAAGGGTGATAAGCTTCATTTAGAAAGCAAAGTTTTGGCTTCCCTCCATTAAATGTGATGTACCCCGATCGATAATAGCAGAATTTGTGGTAACATTGAAATTAACTACTCAATGATTCAAGGGGGAATGAGATTATAGACGATGCTACAACCGCATGAAGGCAAAATAGTTAAAGTGGAGAGTCACTACGAGAGTGATGTGCGATAAGAGGGTACTGTTAAAAGTTAAAACTGATGGAGAACTTCTCAAGGGTAGCCAAAAAACGAGCTATGTTGTATGATTTTGAGTGTAGGGTAGTAAAGAAATGAAAATAAAGACATATGAAGATGTTGAGATGGATGTGTCATGTGTGGTTGGGCCTTGCTAGATAGGACTCCAAACGAAGTTTTCCGATGGAACTAAGGGTTGCTCCTATCACAGATAAATTAAGAGAGGGCAGATTAGGTGGTTTAGGCATGTTCGTAGGAGACATATGACAATGCCAATGCCAATGAGAAGATTGGAGGGTGAGATGGTTAAGGGGGTGAGGAGGGTAGGCCTAGGAGAACGTGGAATGACCAACTAGGATGGACATGATGGCTTTAGGCAATTCCAAGGACATGAGCTCTGATAGTTCTTTGAGACACAGGACTATAGTGACCGATTTTTAGTAGGATCTGGTAACATGTGACGACAAGGATATTGAGAGAAGGGTAGAAAGAAGACAAATAGGCTCCTTCTGTGGGATAGTTGGGCTGATAGGATGTGGCTTCCTCCTTGACTTTCTATTTGACTTTCTTACTTGTCTCACCTACATGTTTAAGTTGCTATATTCATTACTTTCTACTTGTATTACATGTTTTACTTGATTACATTGTCTGTTTGCATACCATTGTATGATGCACATACCATTGAATCGTTATTCTACCTCTTTAAGTTTCCCCATTACCAGTTATATTACTCATCTTGTTGCATGTTTGCACACACCTTGCTTCATGCACAAGTTGGGTCTTCACATAAATGACCTATCAATCCTAGTGGTTGAGGGTAAAGTTTGCGTACATCCTACCCCAATCCCAGACCCTACTTTCAAGTTGGATATATTGGGTTCATATGGTTTTGGTTTAACCTTCCTCAATAATATATCATACCACTAACAGATTACATGCAGATTTAAAGGTTGTTTGACTTGAGGTCTCCAAGCATTCACACATTATCCACCAAGTAATAATGAAGCTCTCCCGCATTGCTTGAGTAGAATACACCAATTACTATAGTTATGATTCTTCCAGATGTCATACGTTGATAATCAACAAAAATTTGATGATATAACCTAAGGACAAGTCTGAATAGAAGATTGAAACGTTATAAATGAATTCATCTAGGCATCAAAGAAAATAATAAAGACCAAATATTAGCTCTAAGTGTAAAGTATGACCAATTAAGAGAAGGGTGTTCTCGCCACTCATGCGAGGGTACACAAGAATCTCATTTGTTTGTTAATATAGTGCAAAACACTAAGCATGTTGATGTCATAACCTTCTTAACATTTCTCATAAACAAAACCAAACAAAGGAGTAAACATACATGCTTGTTCTCATTAGAAATGAAGACAACAAAGAGATCAGATACATCAGCTACTCCATCCGCACATAGTTTCTTGCAGAGCAAATAGACATTTTCTTCGCTACAACAAAGTTCAATTAGAAAATCTAAGATCATAAATACAACCATCGGGCATCAAGGCAAGCATCAAATTCCAGATAATCCCCACTTTCTCTAAATGAGACATTAAAACCGCCTATCTTTTAAATTCTTATTGATATGAATCTTCTAGCTTCCCAACAAATATCTACAACTCCATCATCTTTACAACAAATACTAGAAATTTAATGCAAAATGGTGAAACAATTTCCATTTTGAACTTCTAGTATTAGTTGCAAGTTGTGACATTTTCTCCATTTTTTGTCAAATTTAGGAGCTAACATTACCTATTTCACTCTTAATCAAAAAATTCCTGCCTTAAATCTTGCAATTATTGAAACGGAGGAACCATCATTAACAAAAAGAGACCACCAGATGAAAAGTTTGTTCTATAGCCTCTGTTTGACTCGATAACATCAGCTGTATCTTCAGTTCAGCGACTAAAACCTAAAATTCGGGATCATGCTGATTAGGGCATATGTGAATGATCATTTAATCTTAAAAACAATCACAATACTCGCATAAAGATCATGAATTGGTATGAATAGTAGGCAGCAGAAACGGTGACTATGTACAAAAACATCATGGCGTGTGAAATTCACACAAGAATATTGATCGATCGTACGGAGTGAGTACCAGTAAGAAGGGGTATGCTGAAATTGAGAAACATCGGAGGAATTGGAAGAAGCTGAATCCAGATTCGATGCCATCATTCTATTTGATCTTCACTAATCCACACACAGTACTTGATTCCTTATTATTGTGATTTGCTGGGGTTGAATCTTTGGATACGAAAGCTGGGTCTTAAATAGTCTTTGTGCGGGACCATAAAATTTGTAGACAATAACACTTATTTGAGTAGTTCAAAGAATTGAAATGGATTATTTTGTACATTTGATATGAGATTATACTTTGGCTTTAGTCGATTACAGGAAACGATTACAATTTTTTTTTTTGGATGTTTGGGATTGCTTATAAAAATAATTTATTGATTTATTTTGGTGTGACATTGGTAATAAGCATTTTTGAGTGTTTGGATAAACAACTTAAGACCCGATAATTTCAATAAAGCCCGATAAATGGATTAAGGCTGATAAAACCCAATTAAATGAGTTAAGGTTTAATAAAACCGAATAACGTCTCATATAACACACACATACTGTATATACATTCATATATACACATATGTTTAAACATATATATATATATATATATATCATCCGATATATGTATCTTAAACAATATATACATCGATCCAATCGTGGTTAGCAACTAACATATATCGTGTATACATATGTATATAACTGTAACACCTTCGTCCCGCGTGGTCAAAGACGGGAGATGCCACAATTGAAATAAAACAAACAACAACGCGCTATATAAAACAGAGCAGCTAATAAAATTTGCCAAAAGATAATTACATAACCACAGACGGAGATAACGTGTCTCAAAATACGGTCCCAAAATACCGGTATGTCTACATAGTCATCAAAAGTTTAACAAAAGTATAACTTAATGGGTTAATATCAATATTGTCATCTCCATAGCTCTCATCCCAAAATCTCTGCTAAGTCATGTACCTGCCGAGGACAAGAAAATCTCGGCTGAGCTCAATGCTCAGTGAACGGATAATAATAATTAAACAATGAATATGAGATAACAAGTTCAAAAACAATTTATAACGCCAAGTGATAATTCAAAAGAAAGTCAAAATGCCCCAAAAGCATATCAAGGGTCCGAAGACCAAACTGCATCACAAGGACGCATTGTTCCCAAAGGATGATCAGTCCATTCAGGCACAAGTGAGGAAAGGGGTGTGAGCACAACACAGCAATCCTCTCCGTGAATTTAA